ATAAAGGGTTATATGCACCAAGTGGGTTCAGAAAAGGGTGGTCCAAAATGGATGCTGTTGTGAAAGTAAGCAATTATGATTCCATGTGGAGGGAAGGGTTACTAATTAAATTGAACAAAATGGGAATTAAAGGTAGGTTCTATAAGTGGGTCCTAGATTTTATGTCAGAAAGAAGATTTAGAGTAAAAGTGGGATCAGAAGTATCTAAAGAATTTGAAATTATTAATAGAATTCCACAAGGCAATGTTATTAGTCCAGTTTTATTTAATATTATGATTAATGATATTTTTATGAATCTAGACAGAAGGATTGGGTCAGCTCTATATGCAGATGATGGGGCCATCTGGACAAGAGGACGAGATCCCATAAGGGTGAAAAGTAAAATCAAGGAAGCAATAGGAAAGGTAGAACAATGGTCGCATAATTGGGGCTTTAAGCTTTCTCCAAGTAAGTCTTGCCATATATTTACCAGGAAAAAAAGAGATAGACAAACGGGAACCTACAGTTATATGGCCACAATATAGAAACAGTAGATCATTTTAAATATGTGGGTATGTGGTTAGACCAAAAGGGAACATGGAAAATACACATCGAAAAGGTGGAATCAAAATGCAAGAAAGTTATAAATTTAATGAGAGCAGTAGTGGGGAAAGACTGGTGAGCAAATAAACAATCATTAATCTATATTTATAGGGCTCTAATGAGGTCAACAATAGATTATGGATGCTATGTATATGGAGCAACAGTTAAAACACACTTACTGAAGTTGGATAGAGTTACTAACAAAGCATTGAGGATTTGTGCAGGTGCAATTAGATCAACAAGCAATCCAGGTTGAGTTAGGGGAAGTGTCCTCAACCAGACCTGATAAACTCACACTCACACTTACATACTGGAGTCGCTTACGTGAAAGTGGTCTTGAAAACCATGCAAAGAGTGTTATTCAGGAGTGTTGGGAGTATACTTCTTTTAAAGGTAATGGCTTTGGTAACGAAGACTAAATCAGAGGAATTTAGATTTAATAATACTGTTATATATTATTATTTTCTACACCTATTAGTGATATCCCTATTTGGTTAAGAGGATAATTAAAAAGAAATGATGATGAAATGGCAGGACAGCTGGGATGTGGATAAAAGTGGAAGGAAATATCTGCAAAAATCTATTCATGCTCAAGGTGTGACTAGAAGGAACAGAAGAGAGGAGAGCGTTTTAACCAGGCTAAGGTTTGATCATACGGGTTAAATAAAACATTGTTTTTAATGGGCAAAAGTCAATCAGATTAATGTTTGGAATGTAGGTCCAAGTAAAGTGTAGAAAATGTACTATTTGACTGTCGGAAATATAGGGATGAGAGGATGCGGCTGAATCAAAAGATAAGTAAGGCAGGAAGAAGTGAAACCTTGAAGGTTTATTAGGCACAACAGGAGATGGGGTAAAGGATACACAGAAAGCTGCTGTACAATATCTGAAAAATATAGGGATATTTAATAGGATTTAGTGGTTTTTTAGGCTGTTTATCGGTTTTGTTTATGTTTATCTATTTATTTAATTATTTTTGGTGATATAAAAGTAGTCCCAACAAACATAGTTCATGCTACATACTCTGGTACAGTAGGCGGCAGTATGCACCTTTGAAAGTCATGGTTGCAATCTACCATGAAACAAAAAAGAAGCAGCAGCAGCAGCAGCACTGGTTCCCCTCTAGAGAGAGTGAAAGAATTTTAATTTTTGGGTGTCTGGTTTGACCAACGAATGACTTGGGCTGTTCACGTTAGGAACATTTTGTCAAAATGTGACAAGGTGTTAAATATAATGAGAGGTCTGTCGGGATGTGACTGGGGGGCAGAGAGGGGTTCCATGCATTTAGTATATCAGGCAATGATAAAGGCCCTAATTGGAATTGGGTGCTTTGTTTATGGTTCTGAAGCCCAGTCGGTGTTAAGGAAGTTAGACACTGCAGGCTAAGGAACTGAGACTCTGTTTTGGAGCTCTCAGAACATCTCCAATTCCTGCTCTGCTTATTGAAATGGGTGAAATGCCCTTATGTTTAAGGCGTATTAAGTTGGGAATGCAGTATTGGATCAAATTGAGTGGGTCTAATCTAGCACTCCCAGCTAGGTGCCTTATGCAAGCATGGAAGAAAGATCAGAAACAAATCATTTTTTGAATGCATAAATCAGTGGACAAGAGAATTGAGAATGATGCAAGAAGACACGGTATACAACTCAACTACCTATTCCTTATTGGTTAATGCAAGAACTGGATATTGATTTAACTTTTTTTAAAGAAAAGAACAAATACGTAACTGCTCTAAAATTGGAACAATATCTAACAGTGGGAAGGGATCATATCTGAAATTTTTTACAGATGGTGCCAGGGAACCAGAGAGTGGGAGAGCAGGTTCTAGGGTGTATATAGCTCAACTGGACTTTAGGATTAGCAAGAGAATAACAGACAGAAGTTCTGTCTTTACAACAGAGCTACTGGCGATTCTTTGGGCTCTGTGGTGGATTGAGGATGTGAAAAAAAGAGAAGCCTTAATCTGCTCTGATTCTGCAGCTGCCCTGATGGCCTTGAAAGGCCGTAAAGCAAAAGCCCGTCCTGATATCATAAGTGAAATTCTAGCTGTATTATTTAGAATTACAATGATTGGTAGCATGTTATGTTCTGCTGGGTCCCTGGACATGCTGGAGTTGAAGGAAATGAAGTAGCAAACTTTTTAGCAAAATCAAGCTTAAAGAAGTTAGAGACAGATATAAATATATCATTTGCAGTAAATATATTGAAGTAATAAGCTTGATACACTATATGAATAAAAACACTCTTATTAAAATTCAACCAATTTAATAATAATAATAATTTGCTAATCCGATATTAATATTTTACTCATGGATAGGGACGTTAGGCTACTGTATGAATGATGATAGTAATTATATACATAAGCCTTTATATGGCAGGTCTGGTTGTATCCTACTCGGGAAAGATTGTGAAAATGGAAGGATTTAGCCGGAGTAGCGGTGATTACATATTGACAACATATTTCTGTGGTTTTTACATGTTTTGAATTTGGTTGTGGGCCCACAGGGGTTTATATAATGATGATATACAGTAATCAAGAGGTGAATTTGTGCTTTATACTTTGTCAAATAAAGCAAGCCAGGCAGCCTTCCATGTTTGAGAACGGCGCTGTTTTTTAATCGCCCACTAGAGGGCTGCAGCGCCACAATAACCAGCCTGGTTCAAATGAACGAAATGACTGAAAAAAAGATTAGTTCATTTTCATGAACAAGATTTGAATGAACGAGTCTGTAAAGAGTCGAACTTGCCATCACTATATGTTACTAGCACTGGAGTCCAGCCGCCGCTGACGTTACTATTCACAATAAGTTATTCATCAAAACAACCTTAACTAACTGTTAGCTGGCTTGTTAGCTAGTCGGCTAACAGAAGGACAACAACGCATTTTAGCACAAACAGGGGATACAAAGTAAAAGCAAGACTGTATCATCCTACATTGAAACATACTCCAAACCAAATACGATTGTTTCACTTTGTTAATAAATGAAAAGGCCAACGAGGGATTTTCAGCCTCCGACCACAACGTCCAGCTAACAGGACTGTGTTGGAACTTCCTGGTAGCGGCATCATGCGCTGCGTAACATCCGGTTACGATTTCAAAAAAATAATAAAAGGAACAACATGTTATTTAAAACTTACTTACATGCCTCATTTAATGCTTATTAGCCTAGCCCACCTTTCCACAACCGCCCATCTTTTTAATTGGATTGATCTATCGATTTAGAAAATTTCATCGAGAGCCCTAAGCTTCTCTGTAGGACCGGGATTTTTTGTAACATAATAAAGTAACTATGTCTTTTGCACCATTGTTTTTGAGGTTTATTGTAGTTTTATGTCTCGATTTATTTAATATTCAATACAAGATACTTCATTAATAATGAAGCAACTGATCTGTCCATAGAGGCTATGATAGACGTGGGTGGAAATGCTCTGCTGCTGCCTCACCAGAGAGGGAGGAGAAGTTAACCCTACCTACTGAGTAAATTGAAGGGACTGACTTAATTTATACTTTATTTTGCACGTTGTACAATTGGTTTAGAAATGACACATGCACTTTGCAAACCCACACTGGTGTATGACACATAAGCCTTTACAGAGAAAGGAAGCCCGTTAAGGGGGATTATTATTGGTGACCTCTCATTGGTTGTTCTTGATTGGAATTTACAGCAGCTGTGTGAATTATCTCTTAAGTGCAGAACATAAAAGCCAGGTGAAACACCACCATCATACATGCCCTGTTTAGGTTAGGGGTCAGTTGTAGTTGAAGGCAGCTGCTGGAGTGAAAATGGAGTTAGTACCTGCTGTGTGTTTGTTGTTGCTGTTTTGTTCTGCCTGTAGTTCTTTTGAAAGTAGATCTGAGGATGGCCTATTTTTGGAAGATCCTGAATTAGTGTGGGTGAGAATGGAGACAATGATGAGTAAAGAAATGACACCAGCCCCTGCACCTGAAACCAAATTGTTGAGGAGTGCATCAGGTAGTGGATCACCTGAAGCCAAAAATGTTCCTCAGTATCTGGCTGTCCCAGCCTCTCAGACCCTGAAACAGGTTTTCAAGCCAGAACAGGGTGCCAGAAGCCTCCCTAACTTGGCTAACGAAATGTTACTTGTGACTGCTGCCCCTACTCCGGCAATTGGCGCAACAGCCGGGACAAAGTTGGTTGAAATCCTGTGTCATGTTGACAGAATGTATGTGAGAATAAGGAGAGAGGTCTTTAAGACTCGTGACGCATACAAATACTTGAAACTAGGCACCTGTCCTGTTAACAAAGGTACCAAAGAACATTACTACCTTCTGTACCTTCTGAGAACTGACTGTGGATTTGAGAAAAAGGTTGGTAAAGCTGTTCCTCTCAACTGCTGTATCATTCAGTTAGTTCTAGTTTATAACTGCAACCAACATGTGAATGTTTATGTTCCAGAGTCATCCAGATTATCTGTCCTTTAGCAATGTGCTCCACTACAGGCCAACTGGTCCAGTTTTAAGGGAAATGCCATTTGATATTCCCCTGAACTGTAACTATCCCAGGTAAGATTTAGATTAGGTTCCTTAATTTTAGTATGATTGTGTAATTTAGTTCTATTACAAATCTTAACTACCAGCATTTAAGACCAAGGACATATTGCAAGACTACAGGGCAATCAATGACTTCTGTCTTCAAATTTTGTATTGTGAGTTTTCACTTGACTATTGCAGGTTTTTCCACTCCTATAAAGTTGGCTTCTATCCTGATCGCATGGGTGCAGTTTTCAAACGACTCCAACCTAAAACTAGTTTCACCCTTACTCCTCAAGATGGTATGTTCCCATATTTTAAATGCACCATCACCCAGTATTTTCAGCACAAGGCCTGTTATCAGAAGCACTGTCTCTTTTTTAAATTAGAGCTCTGATGAAGTGCAGAAAGGAGTGGTAACTTGCAAATGCACATTTCTAAACTTAACCAGGCTAGGAAAGTGCTGCTCCAAGTATAGATGTGCAACTTGACAGAAGAGGGAGCGCTACAAAATGTACATCCTTAGTTTTGTAACATGGTGAGGTTAATGTGGATGATGACGTACTTCTGAGGTGGTATAAATCAGGTTCTTTAATGGGCAACAAAGATGTCTGACAAAACTTGTGTGGACAAGATTACATGGGGAGCTAAATGCACACCTGTAATTGACACAAATGGGAAGCTGTTAAATGAATCCAAAGCTAGACAAACCCTGGAGTCAAATATTTACCATTTTAGAAAAGGCACCCTAGCACCTGATCTGTCAAGCATTTGTAAGTGTACTCAAAATATGCCAGGATAAAATACTAAAGCATGTTCTACAAGTACTCAGAACTCATCACTGCATATTCTGCTGGAGCTTAAAGGAACCAAATGTATTACTTGCATAGCAAATGTATGCAGCAGCCCTGTGTGTCTCTATTGTCAAGTGATGTCCCTCACTTTGCCACAGCATCAGGTAATGAAATCACTGGAACCAAAACCTTCACCTTGGGCGAGCCGATGTACTTTGAGGCCACGCAACCTGACCGCACTGCACAGTTGGGAGGCCAGAGGATATACATCGACAAGTGCTTTGTGACAGCCTCCCGAGACCCCAATTCAAATCCTCGATATACGGTCGTTGACAACCAAGGGTAAGGTTTGAAATGATTTCAGTATAAGATGGGCCTGTCACTTGGTGGTTGGAGGTAAATGTGTCTTCTCGACAGGTGCATGATTGATGGCAAAGAGAACGAACAGTCAAGGTTCCTCGCTGGCGCCTCAGAGATGGTCCAGAAATTCAGTCTGGGTGCCTTGATTTTCAAGAATGGCGTTTCCGCTTCCTCCTCACAGGTACTGTCAAGAGGTAGTTGTACAGAGCTCAATGCTGTCAAATAATGAACACATGTAGCCATTAATGCTCATGTCTTTCAGCAACTCTACATGCACTGCGAGATCTCTGTGGGGACACGTACTCCAACTCAGGGCTCAAAGGCTTGCAATTATGATCCAGCGACCAAAACGTGAGTTGACTCTGGCTAAAGTAAAACCTCACAGGTGTAGCTTGCTTTTGAAGGTCTTGTAGGAGGAAGTGTTTCATGTGTACTTGACTGCCAAAAGAACTCGTATGTGTATTTCCAGCTGTGCTCACTGTGATCTGCTTTGTCCATCAAGTTTGCCATCTAATATTGCTGACAACTGTTATGGTTTAGGTGGAAGGAGCTGTACTCTGATGACTCCGTGTGCACCTGCTGTGACTCGACCTGCTCCTTGGCACAGCCTAAGGGTACGTCTTCAACTTGTCTGTCTGTTGGGGAGGGGTCTTGAGGACATCTTGGTATGAAATGCAGTAACTTCAGACATGCTCCCTGACTTGGCACAGAGCTGTTCCTAGGCAGTCGATTCTTGAAGCGTTCACTTTCTACAGGCAATACTGATGCAAATCCAAAAGTACTCATCCCTTGACAATCATGCAGAATCAAAAGCATAAAATGACTCCTTACTGAAAGCTACTCTCTGACAATTATCCTCTTGTATTTTTACAGCTTCTAGGGGTATGATCTCAAGTCACTCTTGGGAGGTCGTCGCAAGCGGCAAGGATGACTATGCAGCGGTTGACCCTCGGATGAATTCCCTTGACGTGGCAGAGCATGAAGACTTAAAGCAATGGGAAAATGATTACTGACAGAATTATGTAGACATGATTTTTAAATGAGAACTGGATCACTTGCTATTATCATGACATAACTCATTCACTCTGACAGAAGAGAATAAAAGCAGAATTTAAAATCTTAATGCTTATGACTCTTTAAATGGCACAACTGGCATTGTCTGTACACTGGTACATGGTAAGTGAAAATGTGTCACTGCATCTCTGTAGATGCAGTTGTGTACCACAAGGGGATGAAGAGATTCAGTCTTTGCTTTAGTGAATTCAGCAGGAAGTTCAATAATTTTCTGTGTCAAGGGGTTCCCAATAAGGGCATGGTTCAACTGCTTGTTCTCAGGGCTTCTCTCCATGAAGGGCAAATCTTGTAGCCTGGAAGTCCCCATGTTGGGTTTCCACTGTGACGGGCTCTGGTCAAAAGCAGATGCATTAGTGCAGTTTTGAAATGAACCTCCTTGAGCACACTACTTCCAGACAGTGCTGCCTCCTTCCGGTGAAGGAACTGGGCAATTTCAAGAGTTTGACTGTGGCATGAATTTCCAGGCAGGTGTCTAGACATGTGTTCAAAGAAACTATCAAGATGGCTTGTCAGGGAGTGTCCAGTAAGTATCCAAGTTCTTTGGGGAGCAAGGAGTAATGAAGAAATTGGCATCGGTTTTGAATTTAACCAAGGATTCATACTGAAGCTTAGCTTCACTGATCTAAATCAAATGACTGGAGCATCAATGTAGCGGCTGTTAAGCTGATACTTATGTGAAATCAGTGCCCACGCTTGTTTGATAGCGCTCTTAATCCATCTGGTCCATCACAAACATCAGTAACTTTCGTTACTTTCTCAGTCTCACAATGCAGCAGGCATATCATCTGCATTGGGAGACTGACAGTGGCAGCCATTTTGGACAGGTTATACGGGTCAAGTGGGCTAAAGGGAATGATATCACACACACCCACCATCTGAAAGTCCTCAATCAACATACCGTCATTGCTATCACACACTCCTCATAGCATCCAATAGATCATTTGCAAACCCCTCTAAAAACTCATTCTCCCTCCACTTGTTATTGGATGATACTTGAATACATTTAGAATGAAATGGCTGCAGAGCGTGGCTGTCTGGTAGCAGCCATGCAGGTCACTGGGAAGGTCCTGGTTTCTTCTATCTTCATTTGGGAATTTCTCCCTAGTTACTTCCTGAAGAAGCGTATGATGGAGAATATGTTCCATGAGTACCAGAGATAATCCCCCTCCCAGTCAGCGATTGTGTTCTCTGAAGTTTCATTTTCTGATGTCTTGGTGTGAAGGTGTGACAGAGGTGATTCTTGTTCTTTGGAGCTGAACATTTCCTTCTCTTCGGGCTTTTCCTGTTGCTTGTGTGGTCCGCTTGGGTCTGTAAAAGAGTCATCTTCTCCCTGTTTACTCCTCTTGTCCAGCTGTAAATTTCCCTTTTGCTCATGGTCAATTTGTGATGTTTTCAGAGCAGTCTCACCTTCACTTTTGGAGTTTTGGTGCTGATCCAAATCTGCTATAAAATATCCCCCTTCTTGTAATTTGTGATCAACATTGTCTTCCTCTGATTGCTGTTTTATGACATTCACATCATCTAAGTCTGACATTTTATCTTTTTCAGTAACTTGCTGATCAGACCGATCAACAAGTTCCTTGGGAGTGTCATCTCCAGGCCCAGCATACATCCTTTCCTTACTGATATGTGCCATTTCATGGTCCAGTTTTTCTTCTCCTCTCAGCAGCCTCTCTTCATGCTTTTGCATGCCCACTGTGGTGATATCACCCCATTCCTCAACCCCGGGGTCATCTCTTGGGTGCGTTAGGAGACCCAGAGCCACCACAAACACTCGCAGCAGAGTGCTGTGCATCGTCAATACTGTCTGTGAATAAGTCAAACAGCATAAAGAATTGTTACAAATATGATATATAAGAACAAAAGATTGAATGAAAACCCTTGCAATTATATGTAAAATATACTTTATGGCAAAGCTCACAACGATGCAAAGCAAGTAAGAAAGAAGCTGCTTCCTCGATGGCCTGGAAGCATCTTCTTTCCTCAATTCTGTGATTACATTGTTTGTCAAATGCCATTTATTACTGCTCAACAATAAAGAAGAAGGGATATGGATGTTAGACACACTCCCTAATTTTTCCCTTAAAGGCGTCAGAGCTCCACATTACTCTTCAATAAATATATATTTCTCAGTGTGTCTATAAACTGTACTATTTGGACATCACAAAAGGCCATGCTGATTCATGTCCACTGCATTGGTGTGGCGCGACATACTTCGGGGTGAACATGTCAAAATCAAGACAAATACAACTGAAACTTTCTGCTGCTTTTCTCTATCAGTTGTGAGAACTGACTGTTTTCATAAAATGAAAAAAACATTCAATCCTCTCACAGAACTGGTAAAAAAATAAAAACGTTTAACAGAACTTGTATGCAAACATGATTAACCAGCTCACCTCTGTTGGGCCCCCGCAACCCTGTACGCAGGATAAGCGTTTGACGACGGATGGATGGATGGATGGACCTCTGTTGGTCCTCCAGAATTTCTCCATCCTGTGCCTCATCAGCACAGTGCGTGAAAGTTCTGTGAAGGATTCGATGATGTTGAAGTTGCACAGCGGACTGACCTCAAAGAAAGTTGTGCTGTTCTTTTCTGCATACGCCCTTGCCTGCTCCGTTGGCACCTGTCACTTGAAAGCCAGGTGCAGCCGGTTGCCCACTAGGATCCTGGGTACACCAGGGGCGTGCTGATGGAAATAAGCAATATTGTTGCTAACAAACGCACATGAGCATGTAAGAAGACCAATATGCTGTGGATTTGTTCACTACTACTGCAGCCATTATTGATTTGATCAGTCTGTTGTGATGGCAATTTAAGTTTTCAAAGAAACAGCTCAGGCAAACACTTGTCTTTCTGTGAATTTTATTAAAGTCTTCTGCAGAACTCACAGCAACACGCATAAGTGTATGCTCGAATGAGTGAGGAGAGCTGGGTGAGCCTGTCATTTATAGGGTCAATCATATCATCCCACAGAGACTCATTGTCCCTGAAGTCTGGATAACACAGAGAACAGAGATATTTCAACTGTTACGTTTACACAGATTCAGTGCCACATCACACATGAGTCTCCCTGAGTCCAGGGTTACATGCAATATGTTTGGAATTCCCATTACGCTGTGTTTTGCCAAAAACTCTTACCATAACTCTAATTTCACTCTCCTCCCATCCAGCAGAATAGTGGTGCTCTTGTAATCAATCCCTCCACACAGAGTTGTTGTCAATGTTTAAAAAGGTCTTTATAATTCAGTTCTAAACAACTGAACTAAAGCAGAGATAGTTATTTACCCCTGTGATAGTCATAGGGGGACTCTACTGATCCGTCTTGTCCAAGATTTCCCCCTTTCCGACTCTGCTGTCTCCCACCAAAAGAAACTTCAGGAGATAATAGTAACTCTTGACCGGACTATCATACCACGCATTGGATCCGATCCACAGCTTTATAAGCTCGCCAGACATCCACTGTTGGGGGCAACCTGGTTATGAGTCTGTTAGGTTTGATAGAGGTGAAAATCAGTTTGGAGTATGTGAGGGATGGGATACTACTTGGATGAATAGCAACTACAAAAGAAATAGAATGTGTGATTACTGAAATTTATAAATCAGATGGGCACTTGGTAGTAATCAACTTATTTAACCCTTTGTAAATCATTAAGCCTAGAAACCTTAGAGGAAATAATAAGGAGACAAGGAAACAGGAAAGAAATATGGTGCAGAGACTTTAATGCACATAATAGTCTTTGGGAAAGTAAGCATACTGATAGGAATGGAGAAGCAGTGGAAGAACTACTGGATGTTAGGCAACTAGTTTGTTTAAAAAATGGAAATGGCACAAGAATTGACATGCGTTCTAACACACTGTGTTACATTTACATTTATCCAAAGCGACTTACAATTGCTATACATCGTCAGAGGTTGCACGCCTCTCGAGCAACTAGGGGTTAAGTGTCTTGCTCGGGGACACATTGGGGGATGGGTCACAGTGGGGGATTTCAACAACAAGGTAATTCAAAGTGCTTTACATAAAACATAAAAGCAACAGGGAAATATAAAAAAATTTAAAAGCAACATTTGAAAAAATACACATTAAAATATAATAAAAGTTACAGTGTTAAAAGAGCTAAATGGAAAATAAAAACAGGCCGAGGGGTTGAGCAAATAATTGAGTTACAATTATTTTGAAAAGAGAATAAACAAAGAAGTAAACTTAATCTACTCTCTCTAGCTAGTCTGTACTCAGGTCCATAGCAATCTTTGGGTCCACTGAAACTCCAAAAACCTTCGTACACTACAGAGAAACCAGGACATGTCTGTCCGCAGGCCACTTTGATCCAGTTAAACTCTGGACCCACTTGCGCATTTACAGGTGGACAGAGGTTCCTGCAAATCACTCAGGCGTGAGATTGAAGACCACTTCCTTCACTCTGTTCAATCTCACTCTCATTACCTTTTCGCTCAATTACCTACTCATTTCTGACCATGTAAATATTTAATTTAAAGCAATGGTAAAAGCTAAAAACAAAGAAAAAGAAAACAGGACAGTAAAAGTTACAGTGCAGTGTAAGTTACAGTATCAATCTACTAGTTAAAGGCAGTGGTAAAAAGAAAAACCTTAAATATTTTATTAAAAGCAATGGTAAAAAGAAAAGTCTTCAGTCTTAATTTAAAAGAACTGAGAGTTTCAGCAGACCTGCAGTTATCTGGGAGTTTGTTCCAGATATACGGACCATTATAACTGAATGCTGCTTATCCTTGTTTAGTTTTGACTCTGGGGACAGAAAGCAGACCTGCCCCAGACGACCTGAGAGGTCTGGGTGGTTCATAACGAAGCAGAAGATCAGAAATGTATTTTGGCCCTAAAACATTTAGTTCTTTATAAACTAACCGCAGGATTTTGAGATTAATTCTTTGACATACAGGGAGCCAATGTAAAGACCTCAGAACTGGAGTGATGTGACCCACCCTTTTG